AAATACCATACAATCATTGTACCGACCACTGATCATCAATTGCCTAATACAGAGAGATACATCAAATTGCTTGATATTTGTGTATTTTTTTGGTAAGATACGAATTCTATGCCAAATAGAAGTTTGGTATTCAGGGCTTAGTGTAGTCCTATCAAGGTTAAATAGGGCTGTCAAACATTTTGGTTTGCAGAACACAATATTTATTCATTTTATTGGGATGAATCGATGGTTGATAGCATGTAGTGCTACGAGTACCTAGATATTCGACCTGGTGTAAAGTGGGACTATTAGACATAACATAACATCACGTCTTTTTATCCCTGAAGAGGTAGGCAGAGGTGCACATTACAGCACTTAATACCACTGTACAATGTAACACCCACTTTTCACTATTTATGTTATGACTCCCATGTAGTAGGGGGTAAGCCTATTACCATATATTGGGCACAATTTCAGACTCCGTGCTACTACTGAGATAAAAAAAAAACAGTAATACTTTGCCCCACCCGGGAAACGAACCCGAGATCCCGTGATCGGCATATCAAAATCAAAATCATTTATTTCAATTAGACCAGAAAGGCACTTTTTAACGTCAACAAAAAATTTAAAGTGATGCTATTTGCTCATATGCAGGCCCACATGCGACCACGTGGCCAACGAGGCAATTCGACAATTAGATTTAAAAAAAAAGGAACATTACGCCTTTTAATCGTCACACACAAAACGTACCTCGGAAATAAGCCTAATTCAAACCTAATTCAATTAAACAATCATTCCATTACCATTTACAAACTACTTTAACAAACATGTCTTTAGTCGGAAGTAAAAAATAGCACCTATTGTTTATGAACCCATGACCATGAGCTCAGAAAGCGAGCATACCACCTCTGTGCCATTTGGTCCGTATAAACTAGAGCTGCCGGTGAAAATGAGACAAGGCCGCACAGATTATATAGCGGTTTCATAATTATCTGTCATGAATGAAGTTTTTTATAACGACATTTTCTTTTGTGGAAGTATATTATAGGCATTGTTGATAGGTATAAGTGATTACCTGAGTAGTCTTTTTTTTTTTAAGGGGGGAAAATCATCGAATGGCTGCTCCCGCCTGGGTGAGGCGGAAGGGAGTGTCAGACTCTTACTGACTAAAAACCACCCCGTTCCTTCTCCTGCACGTCGAGCCGGAGCCCCGGTTACCCGTTAGGTTCTCCGCGACATACCTGAGTAGTCTAGTGTTTAAAAATGTATCTAGATTTTTTCAACAACAATTTCAGGCACTTTTGCATTGTTTTCTATACATTTCATTTTGGTATGAATTCATTTCGAGGGATCTCGTCCGCTGCTACAATATTTTTGAAATATACAATTTTAATTAGTTATATGTATCGAATTCTGTCTAGCCTATTACCAATTATGTGCCGACTGCTGAAGTCGATGTGATGCATCATACCTAAATTGTGTAGATTTTAACCGAGCACGAATAGGTACGTTATTCATAAATCATATTTATGTTTGTGAGAAATAAGAAACGAAATATACGAAAAGCATTCATTTATCATTCGCTACCATAACCATGATCCTTTTGATCATTTAGATGCTTCTATGCAAAACATAACAAATCTAATTTGTATATGGCAAAAATATTTACAATTCAAACTAAATTTATATGATTAAACAAAATTTAATCTAAAATTAAAATGATAAATATAAATAACTAAAAACTAAAATATTTACACCTTAAATTTACTTTAAAAAAGTTATAATAATAAATATAAGTATCATCTTAACGCATCAAAAAATTTATCGTTATCATTGTTCTGAGGTAGGGTGCCCAAAACGCTGGCACCATTACCACGTTGGATGGCAATGCTTAACCTTTGCCCAAGGTAGCCAGCCCTTCGATCACCTGAAGTGTCAACCATCCTTCTTACAATATCTTTGTAAAGAATATGTGCATTTGGGCCCCACGGCCCTAAAGATTCAACCCCAAACGGTTCATAAACATAATTGTCGATCAGACTATTATATTTTCGCTACTTGAGGTTTTCGGCTGCAGCAGCGGCAGCACCGGTTTGACATGCTGAGCTTAGAAGTTGGGATGGCGCAAGAGTATCAACGCAAATGGCCCATACTAAAGGCCTTTGAATTAGTAACTACTTTGTATTAATTTAAATGTAAGATGAAAGTAAAGTTCTAACCATATTGTTACCAGTAACTGTTACCAATTAGATAGTTAGTACTAGAAGGTACAGCCTGCTATGAATATGCGATCAGGCACGATGCCAACGTAATGTGCCAGTCAGGAAATAACTCTCATTATCTTACAGAGGAAGCGAATGTAAGTATGTGGCGTTTTGATATTTTAATGAGGAGTTGGAAATTGTGTGTAAGATTACTTTTAATTTGTTTTGTTCGGTCTTCTTAATTTGTGATTTTGTGTGTAGATCCTAGCTTACAGGAGTTGCAGCGGTTTTGAGAGGCTGTTGCGGGATTGTCCCTATAAGAATAAAGAACATAATCCCTCCATAGTACCTCCTCCTTTTTTTAAGACGGTAAAAAGACGCACGCATCATAATGCAGAAGGTGTCCAGATTTTGAGCTGAACAGTCAAGTGACTCAACAAAAAAGACAATCAATTATGATTTATGTACGGTTACAATATACATTCCACTGATATGTATTATTGTCTGTACACGTGACTGCGTGAGACATACAGCCTTCAAGAAACGGAAGAAAGTCTCGCCACGCCTCACACATCAATGTCGGGGTTAGTCTAGACTCTAGGGAGACTTAAATCTAGTATATTATGTGTAGTTAGACCTTAGAATAGAAGGGTTAACTTGTGCTTTCTGTTAGGTGTCATAATTTGAGGGTGAGGTGGGATCATGAAGTCTCTAGCTAAAGCTTGAGTGCTCACTCTTTCAGCAGTCTATCAAATGCAGGCTTTTTTTCTCTTTTAGAAACTTATTAAGGGATAGTTCAGCTAAGTGGGGAAGTTAGGTAATAGTCCCATTTAATATGGGGCAATCCAATTGCCATAAACCGAATACAATTCCAGATTCCGTAATATTATGGACTTGGCATTTCGAAAACCGAAAAATCCGAATAATTTACTTCTTGACAGGACCCTGGAGTCAAACTGCTTATAGCTTTTATTTGGCAATAGCGTTTAGTGCTAATGCACGTCTCTGCCAAGTCTACCTTAGTCTAAAAGCGTGATGTAAACAAGTGAAATTAATCATGTTCTTGCAGTAGTGAGGTAAGCGCGATCCCATGCGCCTGTGCAGTTTTTGTCCACTTACACTATTGACCCCCTTACCTCGTATTATAACATTAGTAGTATGTAATGTTAAGAATATAGCATGTAAACATAACACATAAACAACAAAAGTACAGAAATATCATACTATGCTTTCATCTATAGCGTTTTAATAAAAAAAACTGTGTGGGAAAGCCATGCTTCGACACGAATGATACCACGGCCTCACAGAAAACCTACGTGAAACAACGTGTGTCTTGTCGTGTGAGTACGGTTACCGGAGGCCTAATTGGGCCTCCTCCCCTTCCCTAATCTCCCTATTCCCTGAATCCTCAACAATCGTCAAATTCCTAATTCCTAAAAGGCTACAGGCACTTGTAACGCCTATGGTGTTCCAGGTGTTCAGGGGTGACGCCGATTGCTTACAATCAGTTGATTCATCTGCTCGTTTACCGGCTAATCCCATAAAAAGGCATCCTCAATCGACGAGCATGCATGAGGATAATATTGAATTGAATAATTCACAGAAAGTAGGATTTATTATCAACAGCCTATGCTAGTCCAGTGTCTACAAAAGAGGTTATGCCATAGTTTGTGGTATAGTGAAACAAGTGTGAAACAAGTGACAAGTGAAACAAGTGAATTTATTTCTGCAAATAGGCTACAAGGCAGCAATTTTACACGTCAATTTTATCAAGCGAACGATGAGGTCGACGTTTCCTAACTGACTACTCTGAGAAGAAATGCCGAAACAAACTCAGAGGTCTGTCTCTTTTAAAGTCCAGACAAATGCGTAGAAATCCTAATCGAAAAGGTTTAGGATTATAAGACACTGCTGCTGCCTCTCTTTGATGCGATATTTGTCCACTGGTGGTTTTCAAGACTGCCTCGTTGCCCGAGTGGTCGCACGTGCGACTGCCAGGCAAGTGGTCTCAGGTTCGATTCCCGGATCGGGCAAAGTACTACTGTGTATTTTATAAATTCTCAGTAGTAGCACGGAGTCTGGAATTGTGCCCGGTATATGGCAATAGGCTCACCCACTATTAGTACATGGGACTCATAACGTAAATGTGGATCGTGAAAAGTGGGTGTTACATTTTACAATGGCATAATGTACATACACATCTGCCTACCCCCTCGGGGATAAAAGGCGTGATGTTATGTTATGTGGTTTTCAGTAAAGTCTCTTGTCATTAAGGTTCCTAAAATATTAATACTATCAGATACGTAGGTTTTAAAAGATATTCAGCGCCAGTTATGCTCTATACTCTGACAATTATAAGCTCAGAATGTGCAGTAACTTAATATAGTGTCAATGTACATAAACAAGTTACTAAGTTAATAACTAAATACTATTCCCAAGGTTGTGTATCAAAATCAGCTTGTCAAATACCTGAACCAAAGTAGAAGGTCAATGTTATATATTTATACCTTTATACTAACCACAATAAAACAATAAAAATTGTAGAAAATTGTATTTTTATGCGTAACAATATAAATCGTAGTTAAATAGAAATGTTGGTGGTTTATGAATCAAAACAGTTTTATTGTAGTCGAGTTTTTTTTTGTATTTTGATCGAAAATTGTGTTAGTATTTAGTAGTAGGTATATTGTTAGTTTTTGGTTTTGATATAATATTAGCACCCCCTAAACTTGGAATATATAAAATTCAGTGAAAGGTTTCGCCCTGTTCTTGATATAAAAGAGAGGTGCAACCGCGCCGCGCCTCCGACTTGCCGACATGACACCGTTCACGCGATTGGTACGTTACTTGTTTATTAAAACCTTTTTTAAATTAAAAAAAACAATAGCCGCCATTTTGATTGCAAAAGACTATTTAATAAAAAAATAATTTTAAAACTGAATTTGAATTAAGAACTGTCAAAAGCAACATTTTGTTTTGACACATCGCGAATATGATTTAAATAATTGACAGTTAAATTATCCTTAAATAATTAAAATAAGTTACGTTATTTCTTTGTTTTTAAACTGAGAGTTATTTAACTTCATAATTGATACAGAATTAATTCAAAACTTTTAAAAAGTTACGCCATTGTATTTCTAAATTAAAAACCTTACGTTCTGTGCACTAATTATTTTATTTCAGTGTGTGTTTGTATATTTTTCTTGTAATTAAGTGAAAGTTTAAGTTATGGACAAGTGAAGTTAAGTGATTCCTTTGTTATTAAGTTAATAAAGTGTGTGATAAGTATTCGCGTGTGTGATGAAATAATTAGTGCAATTACGATAATGATATAATTAGTTAGATGAAAATTTTGATGTGAAATGTGGAGATATTAACTTTATCATCTATCTAAATTGTCTAATGACATGTTTACATGATTAAGTCATTGTCTAGTCTAACTTAACATAATATAAACTACTTGGAAGTACCAAAAACCCGTCTGCTGGAAACATTTATCTTTTGATAATCCTGGCCCAATATACCAGTCTATTACGGTTGCCAAATGCTTTGTGATACGTCAGTATATAAAAAATTCAATCCTCAGTAATTAAGTTATTTAGGTAAGCATGTAGATTGTTACGTCACTTCCGTTTTCATGGGAAGAACGTGGATGCTACAAAATTTAATTAGCATAGTAACACTTAAGTAAGCATGAAAGTTAAATATGTATTTAATTCCTATCCGTCTTAATCAAGTTGAATTATTAATGAGTTCACATATTTATTTAACACGCTTATAATACGTTCCAAATCAATTTAGTCCTAAAATTTAATGTAAATATGACTTTAATGCCTTTATAACAGCATAGCATTTCAAATACATATTTTCCTATTAGCTCATGGAAATTAGATTGGTTTTCACTTTTTATTTATCGTCATCAGCATTTATCATCTTCATCATCTCGGTATTTTATCCACAGCTAGACACAACCCTTTAGGACAGCTCGATTTTGATATCTTATTTCCATCTACATTAATATTAGGTATTTACAAAAATCCTTTTCCTTTAACTTTCAACAATAGTCTACCGCCTACGATTTGAATGTGGTTGTCCTAGACTTTAGACATCTAGACTAGAACTAGGTTCTGATATAACACTGCAAGTGGTTTCCTACTCAACAGGCTAATTGCGAAACTTGGTGATAACGGATAACGCTTGTTTAGGCGTTGGTTATATTGTTTTTGCTTTTTGTTACCTGTATGGGAGTTTTAGTATGACTGACGTAAAGAGCTACCGGTAGATATTCTAGTTTCTAATAGAAATATGTAGAAGTCTAAAGGCTATGTTCTTCACGAACACAGAGGCTCTATATTGGGCATAAATGTAAGATTTAAGTAATCATTGAATGAGTATTAAGTGTGACGATCATCAATTAGCTATAGGTACTTAAATAAAAATAACATAAACATATATTAAACTATCTTTTCATATACACAAAGATACTACATATAAAATGTCTACACAAAATAGTGTCTTTCGTATTAACTCGTTTCCAAAAATCAGTAAACGCAAAGCTTTATTTTATTTATCAGTGCAGTGCCAATGGTCAGGTTACAGCAATAAGCTGTAAATCAATCTGTGACATACCACACTACCGGGGCTAGCGCCCGCTGATTGACATTGTACATGTAAGTAGAGAAGTACCAGTCCGTAATAAATAACGTATATTATGTACCTGATGTGTGTTTACAAAATGATTAAAATATAAAGTAATTAATTAACATTACAAAAATAAATAGTTTGGTTACGAAATCATAGCTGTAATATCTATTATCTTAATGCTGTAGCGTGTGCTTATAATTCTATTGATAATCAGACATCTCCTAGTAAATGCTTATAGACAATGTAAAGAGATAGTAACTGTAGTGATGATAATCTGTATATCTGTGTGTTAATCTAAACATGGAAACACTTTTTATTTTCTAGTTTTCACATCTAATATTAAATCTCAGCAGCCATATTCTCACTACGTCAAGTCAAATAAGTCAATCAATAAACATTGCAATGATATTTCATATCAATATCGATTTATTAACCTTGATAATCAAACAAAGACTGATCACTTTATATCGAAACATATAACCTTTCTGCATACATACTTTCATTGCAATGACAATTAAATATCAACCATACATTAAAGTCGCAAGCCTCACAATTGAATACCAACAAATAATAATTTTAATAAAAAATAACACTAAAGTTGCACCGGTACTAGACCTTATTAGCAATTTAAATAAAAATGAGCAGTGTTACAATGACTACAAGGATTAAATTTAAAAATCTTTGCAATCCCAAAGGCGTGGCGGAGTGGTTTTACTGGATTTTCTGCTTAGTGGCCAGTGAGCGGACCGTGGCCTCTAACTACTACTTTCCTAGCCTCTTTGTGCAGTATTATAATTTATTTATAATATAACTGGTCCACCTTTATACTAGGAAATAAAAAGTTTTATTTAAATTCTTGCCTTTGTAGGTAGGACGCAGGACAATCACTGTCACGACATTTCCATTATTAAAAAGTCATGCGTGAACTTCTTGCTCTCTTGATTTTTTTGCATTTAATCATAACGTAATATTAAGATAGCATGTAAGGGAACGTGCTTGAGCATGTTCAAAAATCGAACGCCTGTCGATTCGCAAGCAAAATCGAAATGAGCATGCTAATTTTGAGCAATATTCCGACTCATGCTACTAAGTGAAAAGTGCTTAAATGAAGCATGCTTTCTTAATTGAAATTAGCATTGTAACCTTTAAAATAAAGATTGAGCTTTATTCGGATGTACGAAGGTATAAAATTATGTACATTTTTAAACGTTTTAAGTAGGTAGTCATGAGCTTTTAAATCAAACTCGAAATAGGATTATTTTTGATGAGATAAACGACCTATGTACAAATATATACATAGTTATCTCTGTGACATAGGGGCTGTATACTATTGCTTATTTCGAAAAATTAATCAAATAGTTAATCAAATGTTGCCTACGTTTACTTATTAGTTTGTATCGATAACATCAAACCTTTTATTTGATCAGACTATTGTCGTAACACCAACAAATTGCTTTTGTGTAACACTACTCAAGACATGTATTGTTTTTATAACATGCTGCATAGATATTGTTTATTGTGGTTAACAAAACCATAGACAATAATCTTTTGGTTAAGTTACATAATACCAAAATACATTGTAATTTATGTATGTATGATTGTAAGTTATTTTGGCAAGTCTACCTCCACATATTTACGTACCTGAAATATTTTTGTAACAAAGTATAATTTGAATTGAATAAACATTACTGATAAGGAAGGAATTCTCCCAAGAAAATATGTCAATGGCACTTCCGAATGACAGAAGTATTAACTGGTATTGTTTCGCATACAGATTTCATATTTTTGACCATAACATAACATCACGCCTTTTATCCCCCAAGGGGTAGGCAGAGGTGCATATTATACCACTGCACAATGTAACACCCACTTTTCACTATTTATGTTATGAGTCCCATGTAATAGGGGGTGAGCCTATTGCCATATACCGGGCACAATTCCAGACTCCGTGCTACTGCTGAGAATATTTTAAAAGCCTGTAATACTTTGCCCGACCCGGGAATCGAACCCGAGACCCCTTGCCCGGCAGTCGCACTTACGACCACTCGGCTAACGCGGCAGTCTTTGTACAAAATGTACATAATGGTTGTATGAGATGCTGAATGAGTCTCACACATCTACAGTGGACAATTTTACTAGCAAAGTTTCTACTATTATAATTATAGTGATATTAGTATATCAGGAGATTGTAAATAGTATCATCCCTATTAAATTAGAAGTGCAGACAAATCTAACATGCTAATAGTACCATGTTCTATATCTAGGTAATAGGTAGGCAGGGATAGTAATACTATATTTATAAAATTAAAATGTCCGACTGCCGGGCAAGGGGTCTCGGGTTCGATTCCTCGGGTCGGTCCGGTCGGGCAAAGTATTACTGGTTTTTTTTTGTCAGTAGTAGCACGGAGTCTGGAATTGTGCCCGGTATATGGCAATAGGCTCACCTCCTATTACATGGGACTCAAAACATAAATAGTGTAAAGTGGAGTTACATTGTACAGTGGCATAATGTGCACCTCTGCCTACTCCTTCGGGGATAAAAGGCGTGATGTTATGTTATATTAAAACGTCCCACACAACATCAAAATAAAACAAACCGAGGTAAACAAAAGACCAGCGTACACGCACACCTATCAAAACAACAAATCAATCACAATACATCATAGCAACAGGTGCATTGTGCAACTACACACATGTAGCAATTGCAACTGACAGGTTGCAGTGCACTAATACAGTTAGAGCTAAGTCTAGATCAGTTGTGACAGACTGGTCGGTGTGGCTATATTTGACACGTTAAGCCATCTGTGCGTGAACTTTCGTCATTGGTGTGTGGGCTAAGGTGGAGAATGTAGCGTGCTTACTGGAGTTAATAAAGGTGTAAAGACGTCGACGTAGTGGCTGAGGTATAGATTCTTCGGATAAGAAAAACGGTTTTAATATGTATTTAGTAAATATTAATGGTGATTCGAACCTGTCTATCACTGTCTATTACGTGGAACCGATATTAAACTTGCAAAACAGGTGTTACAGTATTGACATCTATGCCTATAATGAGAGACGTTATGATTTGTATAAGTATAATATTTTTACTAAGGCATTAAAGTTGACAATATAATATGAATTATAGACATCTAACCTAATCTTATAAAGCGTGTATGAAGAAAACAATTGGAGGAATTGCACTTAACTAATTTATTCGGTTATTTGGTAGTTTTATCTCAATAAAAAATCCGGGGGTTGTCCTTTCCATGTAGTAATAAAAGATTGTCAACTTAAAATTATTACATTTACTACTAATACAAATCGCTTCCGCTCTTACATTGTACCACAACCAACAATAACTCCAACACGACACATTACTGTACAAAATATAACAAGTGTAGGAGTCAAGGTTTGTGCATTACACAAGTGGGCAGTAGACAATTTAATTGATATGTTTTAATACATTTCAAAAGTGTAGCTTTATAGTGCGTTTCTAATATTATGTTGGCACTTTTTGTTTTAATTGTATATTCAATGTCATGTAGTCAAGCAATGTTTTACATTGATAAGCTTACATGTATAAGTGGAATGGGGAATGTCACATGGGTGAAAGAAGAACCCTTTGGCAATGCGTAGAGATGTAGCCTCGTTGTACATTCTCTGTCGCTTATACCACGGGGAGTGCTCTGAGGAATTGTTTGACCTAATACCTGCTGCAACTTTTCGCCATCACCATCGCCATAACCATATAGATGATACGCAGGCCACAACTGTGCGCTTCTCACGATGCTTTCTGCCTCGCACAGCAAAACTGTGGAATGATCTGTCGTCGGCGGTATTTCCGAACCGATACGACCTTCAAACCTTCAAGAAAAGAGCGTATTCCTTTTTAAAAAGGCCGGCAACGCACCTGTGACTCCTCTGGTGTTGCGGGTGTCCATGGACGGCGCTGATCGCTTACCATCAGGTGATCCGTCTGGTCGTTTGCCTCCTATTCCATAAAAAAAAGAAAAATAGTGGAAAGGCAAAGGAATCATGTGATCGTCATTTTTTTAAAATGGTATCTTAGTATAGGTAATTAGAAAGGTTAAGAGTATTACAGAAAATTAAGGTCTCAGTTTTTTAAAACAATTTAATAGCGTCAACTAAACTTTAAACTGTATCTTTTCTAGGTAGTTAGATCGTATTATTAACATGTACCTATTGTGTGTTTGCGCAGGCGGTGCTGGCTCTAGTGGCGTGTGCGCACGCGCAGTATCAAGATGAGCGCTCGCCGCGATACATAGCTTCTGAGCCTAAGAGCCCGCCCACCACCCCCGTGCCTATCCTCAAGCAAATAAACAGGTAACGAATGTTATATATATCATCATTATAATCGGAATCAGACAGGTTTGGTCATTTCTCACAACCACAGACTTTTGTGGACGTAATATTTTTAAATTATGTCCCTTGAAAAAAATGTTATTGGGGTTTTATTAAGAGTAAAATATTTAGTTACTCAGTAAAAGCGTGAAGTTCAAACTTAAACTACGTTATTGACAACAGACGTATAATAGTTTCATGAAACTGGTAATTGTGGGAAAGACATCACCCTCTGTTTAAATTCCACATTTAAATCACTGAAAGTGAAACCCACCCATAAGCGTGGGTACTATAACAAATCCCTTATTAGCCTTAGGGGCACATAATCCATTCGTGACAGAGCCTATAATAGGCAAACTGGACACGTGGCTAGGCCAGCCAAGTTACTACAGTTTTTTCTTCTTCTCCTCTTATAAAATCTTCTGATTCACTTCGTTGCGGGAACTAAGACAGTTACTCATGTCCCTGAGACGCGCCGGCGCCGACGGACTTCAATGTTCCGGTGTTTTCATGGTTGTATCTACTGTAGATCCTGGCTTACAGGAGTTGCTGCGGTTTTGGGAAGTTGTGACGGGCTTGTCCCAAAAAAAGACAAGTTACTGAGGGACGCCGTGAAACGTGCGTGGCAAACTGCCCATAGAGTGGCGGGAGTGCATTAAAATAGGGCGCCTATGAATCAGGTACTTGCCTAGGATGCTCTCTAAGTTTAATCAGCTTCTAGATAGAACAAATAATAAATTTAGTAAATATATTTTCATTTGTTCCTTAGTGAAACGTCGCCGGGATATCTGTATAGATCAGTGTTCCTAGATCACCTGAATTTGTTAGCAGATCAACTGAATGACACGTCTGTTGAAGTTTTATTTTGTTTTTGAGTTTATTTTATTTTTCCTCTATATTATAAGGGACTATATTTAATTAAAACCTGTTTACTGACTTTCTGTCTAACGCTTTATAATACTCCCCAAGGAACATCATATACCTACACAGTGCATATATATATATCGAAGTTCCTCAAATTGCAACGATTAAATATTTTTATACGTTGATATACTAGCTTCTACAATGGGATAAAAAGTAGCCTGTGTTCCAGATCATAATCTACTCCAGTTCGAAATTTAATTCTGATCCCTTCAGCCATTTTAATGCGAAGTAGAAACTAACAAACAAACAAAAATACAAACCTTCACAGTAGGATGTATTTGTTTATATCTACAAATACAACATTTATGAAGCATATCTTATTCCTGCCTCGTTTGCCGAGTGGTCGCAAGTGCGACTGCCGGGCAAGGTTTAATTCCCGGGTCGGGCAAACTAATACCGGGTTCTTAAAAAAAATCTCAGTAGTAGCACGGAGTCTGGAATTGTGCCCGGTATATGGCAATAGGCTCACCCCCTATTACATGGGACTCATAACATAAATAGTGAAAAGTAGGTGTTAAAATTGTACATTGGCATAATGTGCACCTCTGCCTTCGGGGATAAAAGGCGTGATGTTATGTTATTTTATTCCTATCGTAGTTACTGTAAGCTTTTCGTTGACTAAAATATCACAATATAATTGGTTACACTTCCTTCTAGCTCAGTTTAAACAACAACCTTGATTGTTGTTGTACCCAGTCTGAGCTACCTAGGTATAATTGGGCAAGGCTTAGGTCTAAGATACCTAAGCGTAGAGAACAAGTTTGTGTAACTAAATAACTAGTTACTTATTTATTACATTGAAGTTATAATACTATTAAAAACCAGGTGAAAACTTATGGTTTAGACGAAAAATACAACGGTAAACTTAAAGAAAAATGTAATTAGAACCACTAGATAATTTTGACGAAATTGATGAAACATCAAATTAAAAAACTAATAAAGAAATATTAACTAAAAATCGCGGGTTACTCGTGTGAAAATACTGAGAAAAGCTCTACCAGTTTCGAACCACAGAGGGGTTCTTCCTCAGGAGCAGACGATCTGACGAATCTCGAACAAAAAAGGGGCGGTTATGCACTCGACATGCTTCGCGACACCGATCTACATTTTCTTCTACCTCCAAAGATTCCTAATAATACTATCATTAAGCGATAAGATTAGTATTTAGACTGTAACTTTTTGCTAAATGTATCTCGACTGTTTTACTTTCCATTCCACTTTTAGGGACCCATTGGATTCCTAAAAATCGAATTTGTACCTAAACGATCTGAACTTAAAATTTGTGGTTCCATCTATGTTTTTGACAGAAAGTCCAGAAGTACAACAAATCTCAAAAATAGACCTTAATCCAAAGATATTGGATTGAAATCAGATATTAATATAGACCTTTATATATCTCTACCCAGTCCCCAAGTAGTCACCACTTACTTCACTATAGACCTTATTTCCGATGTTTAGAGACAACTTTTGTATGAACAAATATTATAGATTTTCCATAATGGGGGATTAAAAAGTTAATGTGGTAAAGTAAATATGAGTTTTCGGGATCTATATTTTCGAATAGTATTCAGATGTAGGGAATTATGCTCTCTTATCATGGGAATTTTATCTGACGAAATATGCTATGTAAAATAAGTAATACGTTTTTCTATAGAGAGCTTATATGCATGTATATATAAGCTCTCTATACAAGGAATAAAAGGCGAGTTTTCTTGTGTCAATCTCTTTTTTACAGTTTTACAATTCTTTTTCTATTTATTCTTATTTCACTTATCTTGTGTGTGTGTGTGTGTGTGTTATTTTTTCGGGTTCTATCCTGCTTTGAATTTTAATAAGTATTTAACATAATACATTGCAGGCACAATGAGGATGGCTCCTACACGTATGGGTACGAAGCCGCCGATGGATCGTTCAAAATCGAGACTAAGGCACCCAACGGAGAGGTTAAAGGCAAATACGGATACAAGGATGATACAGGCAAGGTTTGTAATGAAATTATACATATTTTATGTTAATAACCAGATTTTTAGAACTGATCAATTGAAAATGGTATACAGTACAAAATTAAAGCGTAAAATTGGAGAAGTGTTGTACTAGATGGCTTTCTATCATCCATAAAAAACTGGTAATAGGTGTAAATCTTAGCTTACGAAATGTAGATTCGAATGGAGAAGAACGAGTAAGAAACTCCATTCGTTACTCTTTTAAAAAAATTGGTAAATACCTCTTATTTTATTCCTGCCCATTATTTTAAAGTCCTTACATATAAATTCCAGGTCCGTGTGATCGAATACGGAGCCAACAAGTATGGTTTCCAGCCAGCAGGCGAGGGTATCACTGTGGCGCCACCTACGCTCGTCGATGAAACTAAAGAGGAGAGACAGAGACAAAAACAGCAGCAACAACAGCCTCAGCAGGTTCGTTTGGTGTTCTATTTAAACAATACTAAACCATTGCATAAAATCTTTATTTGTATATGTTTAAAGTAAATCACCGATGGATTGATAGAGGCTTGTTGCTTTCCACCATAAGAGTTTCATTTCCATGTAATAGAAGAGTGACCTATTGCCCAATAAATGTACCAATAGTACTGAATTAATTCAAAAATATCTATAAGCCTAATCCTTAACCTGACCTGTGAGTTGAACCCAAGACCCCTCCTTTTGGGGGGAAACCTCTAACTCTAATCGTATTTGCAACCAGTCGGTCAACGATATAGTTGAATTAATTTCTATTCTATCCAAATTATTATTTCTAGCTAACAATAGTCATTTCTTTATGCACCAGATCCGTTGGAACTCCTTTAGACTACTCTTAGCAGCTACCTAATAAGAATAAACTATAACTGATACTCAATAATACTTATATTCTTCCACAGTCCCGCCGCAACCAATACCAGCCTGCCCCAGCTCAGACACTAGACTACGACTACGACGACCCCGCTCCACCCCCACCCCGTGCCCCTCCCGTCCCCCCGACACCCGTACAGTACCGTCCCCAACCGGCCCCTGAACCCCGATACACGGCCCCCCCTCAGCCCCAGTACAGAGCCCCTGTCCATCAGACACAGCAACAGTTTGGAGTACCATCTCCCACTCAGGCGCCGCAGTACAGGCCTTCTCCACAGCAAAGTCCTACTCCTCCTAGGGTAAGGATACTAGTGTTATATATGTCGTAGGATAATTTGATACTTCGAATCTTCGCGGACATCCTAGGGGTTTTGCGAAAACGCGGATAATTAGACATAGGCGAAAAATTATCAAATCTTACTGGACAAAGTCAGGATTTTTGCGAAAATACTCGTTACTATAGTAAGATTTGATGTGCTCAACACTGATTGGCTACAATTTTGCTGGCTGACTTCTAATTGGTTCCTAGTTTGCCGATGATTAACTTCAAGTATTGTATCATAGAGATATGAAGGTTTAGAATAGGTGAGAAAGAAAAATCACTAAATTGATTTTTATAAACCTTTTATTGAAAATTTTAGTATGTATGTTGTTTTCTACAGACAATAGGAGATCTCAGTCGTAGTAAAAAAAAATGATCCAATTTTAGGGTGTAAACCATAAATTGGATGAAACTGGTCGTTTAAGACGACGAAAAAACATTTAAGACGTCAACCAATCAGAGACGATCTCTTATTGAACGCGCTGACCGACCAATCAGCGTTCTTATTTCATAACAGCCAGCGTTTCGTTTCGCAATCTTACTATAGTAATGAGTATTTTCGCAAAAATCCTGACTTTGTCCAGTAAGATTTGATAATTTTTCGCCTATGTCTAATTATCCGCGTTTTCGCAAAACCCCTAGGATTTCCGCGAAGATTCGAAGTATCAAATTATTCTACGACATATACAAGTGTAGTTTTGAAACCGTGGCATTTCTCGGGGGCATGTCACAGAAGTCATAAAAGTTCAATTTAAGAAAAAATTTCGAACCAATAGTTAAAAATACGGCTATAATAAATCGTTTAAGTTCGACAGTGTTACAGAAAAAGCGACAGCAATGTTTCTTATTGGAGTTTTATGGAATTCGCAATAATATCAATTACGTGTTTGAATTTGTGTGTGTTAAGCCGCGTTATAAAGCTAGTTACAAGACGGCGGCGTGTACTTCGTACTTACGGATTTCCGTAATTTCAGAAAAATGAAAAATATTTACCTACAATTTTGTTTATTGATTCGGACTCAAAATCGATATCTGAGTTAACTCCTAGAAAATGATGCGGCTTTAAAACAACACCTTGTATATTACGTTTAATAAGTCTATAATGTTAATGGTTTTGTTAAGTAGGTAATGGGTTCTGTGTCCAGAACCAAAAGTTAGTGGAATAAGTATTGTTTCTGTAGATTCTCTCTTTATGTGTCATCCAGTTACAAATAGTTAAGCAAACAACAGATGTTGTTATTATCTGTGGTCTTTTAGAAATAAAACTACCTAGTTATATTACTAAATAGCATAAAATACCGGAGTAAATAAAGGGTTAAGAATGATTATCATAATTGTCTGCTAACTCTGATCACTGCTGAATATTGAACTGTCCAACGAAACGATATAGACCTTAGAGAAATACTATTTTAAAAGGCTACAATAAAACATTTTCAACAACTGTAACTTCATATTCCAGCCCGCATTCTTCGCCGGCGCAGCTCCAGTGCCAGAAGAGAACAGCTTCTTCAACCCCAACCAGCAACAGCCGCAGCCACAACGGAGACAGTACCAGAAACCAAAGCAGGACTTCAGACCTGCTCCTCAGTTCCAGGACTATAATGACCCGTACCAGCCTCAACAACCGAACTTCGCAGTTCCCAAGCCATCTAATAAGAACCACTTCTCCATGTTAGATGAACTCCTCAAGGAGTACGCCCTCCCTGCCAACGGACCCCGAGCTGTCCATGACATCACCTTCGGAAGCTACTAGGCTAAGAATAAATCTCATTGTCATTTTGTAAATATGTAGACTATTTTTTTATTAATATTAAAAACAAACTTGTTTTGTTCGTTTTTATCAAAGTAATTTTGATAAAAAAAATCGGATTTTGTAGTTTTGATGCCGTAAAATATAGGTCCAATGTTTATGGATACAGTTAATGGCCGGTCATATCTAATGAAGCAGGAATACCTTACCCTCCTTCCTTACTTATTAAAATACATGAATACCTACAATCTGCTGATTCACAGTAAAAATTCATAAAAATCTGTTGGTCAAATGCATGAATGAACGAAAATAGAATGATGATGTGTCCGTCAATCACACAATGTAAAAAGCCTAAAGCCTGAGTTTGAATTTGGAAAGCAAAAAGCAATCCTTTCAATCATTTCGTTTTTGAGTATGGTGTGTTTTTTTATTTTATGGCCGGTAAAGGAGTAGACAGATCACCTGATCGTAAGCGATCGGCGCCGCCCATGGACACCCGGATCACCAGAAGCGTTACAGTTGCGTTACCAGCCTTTTGGGGATTAAGAATTTGGAACTGTTAGGGATTTAGGGATTGATTAATTAGGCCTCCGGTAACCTAACTCACACGACGGAACACCTCGCAGTCGTGGTTTCACGTCGGTAAGCTGTGTGGCTGTAGTACTAGACTCCGGTCGAGCCGGCCCATTGGTGCTGACGCGTGGCTCTCCCACACAAGAGAAAATGGAACGAAATTCCATGAACAATATTAAGGATAGGTTATTCAATCGATATTATAATCGTCATAAATAGAATTAACTGAGTTAGGTACCCAGATAACATAACATCACATAACATCACGCCTTTTATCCCCGAAGGGGTAGGCAGAGGTGCACATTACGGCACTTAATGCCACTGTACAATGTAACACCCACTTTTCACTATTTATGTTATGAGTCCCATGTAATAGGGGGTGAGCCTATTGCCATATACCGGGCACATTTATAGACTCCGTGCTACTATGAGGTTTTTCAAACCCAGTAATACTTTGCCCGACCCGGGAATCGAACCCGAGACCCCTTGCCCGGCAGTCGCACTTGCGACCACTCGGCCAATGAGGCAGACCCAGTTACTAAATAGAAAATGGATGTACAGAATATTATTACGATGGTTTATTTTTCAGCAATCTAGAAAAGTGTTCTGATCCCAGGTAGCAGCTGGATGCACGTTGCTTTCAACCTCTTTGGAATCGCGTTGTGTGGAAGTCCCCGGGGAAAGTTTATGTTTACCAGTGACATCTTATGGCTGATATATGATGATGATGATGACGAATCTAGAATATAGAATACAATAAGCTAGAAAAAACCTCGATAAAGTTTCTCTTACGCAAAATGTGCAAGTTATAATGTCTATCTCGCTGGTTGAGTAGTAGCAGGCCAGACAAACAAGTCTTAGGGTCAATTTTCAAACTTGTATTGCCTTTTTCCATTTTCATAAACTCTCAGTACTTATTGAATTTTGAACGTTTCACAAATGTGCACCTCTGATTGATACTATTGGTCCTCCCTAATAAGTCTTTGTCCTTCACGATACTTACACTTCAAAAAGACAAGTCGAATATGATTAAAATGTCTAAAGAAACAGGCAACAAACAAACTTGCTTTCGCATGGAATTATTTATGTATGGATATGTATTTCCGAATCCTATTTTATTACTGTTCTTAGTATTAGATATTATTTTAAATACAAAAAATACATCATCGTCATTATCATCAGCCTATAAGTGCCTACTGCTGAGCAAATGCCTCTTCTTACACGGAGAAGTTTCAAGCATAAATCACCATGCTTGCTCAATGCGGATTGGTGATTACAAACTTATAATTAGAAATTATAAGCCCAGGTTTCCTCACGATGTTTTCCTTCACCGTATGTCAATGGTGTCTAGATAATCTTGGAAAGTACATATAACTCGGAAAAAGTCACATTGGTACTTGCCGTTGGTAGGTTTCGAACCCGTATGCATGCATGAGAAGCGGGCGCCTTAAAACCCCGGGCCACCACGACAAAAATTACAAGTGACCTTGAAATACGCACCTCGTAAGAAACAATTTATTGAAAACACACTTACACAAGGCATTACATTATTGAACGTTACTTTGTGTCACTTCTTACAAGCCCACAAGTGGGACGTGGGACTTATTCCCACAATTATACGCATGAGAGTTTCGTATGTACGTATGTGTGGCATATTTCCCAAGAACGTTGCGCAATAATGTACAACGTTATGCATTCGTTTAAAACATTGTCTGCTGTTAAGCAGACATTTGTTTTAAATATTGTTTTAATTGTTTATTAGGTGTTTTATTGTTTGTTTGTTAAATGGTACTCATTGTTGTGTGTTTATGCGAATTATGCGTTTTAGTTGGCAACATTTTGATTTATGGAAATTGGGCTATTAAGATAGGATCCGTGACCAGAACTAAAGCTACCGACATAGCCCAAAGGGTTAGCAAGCTGAAATGGCAGTGAGCTGATCACATTTGTCGAAGAACTGATGACCGTTGGGGTAGACGTGTTCTAGAGTGGAGACCACGTCTATGCAAACGTAGTGTAAGGTACCCTCCAGCTAGATGGAGTGACGATATTTGCAAAGTGGCTGGTAGTGGTTGGATGCGTAGAGCTGAAGATCGAGCTCAGTGGCGTGCCGTTGGAGAGGCTTATGTCCAGTAGTGTACGAGAACAGGCTGTTAATGATGAATGATAAGCTATAAGACAATAGTTTTGGGTTGAAAGTCCTTAGAGTAGAGAACTGAAACATTAGTCATCCTACTGTTATTATTTATACTTTTCCGAAATAGATTAATAATATATGACCTGAGAATTGACTTCGACACCTTTTGTTTCGCTGTTTTACTAAAATAAAATAAAAGTAAAATGAAGCATTACTCATTAGTAATGCTAGAGTAAATACCGGACACAATTTCCAATCAGGAAAGCTAATAAATTGTAATAAAGAAGCGCATGATTATAAGTAATCACGGAAAAACGAACCTAGACTATTACGACATACAATTTAGTTTTAAATACAATATAAACCTCACACTCTTACATTAGATTGTTACATGTTAAGTCATTTCAAGGAAATTACCTAATGATTCCCAAGCGGCGTGCTCAGAGGGCTTGGGTTTCTTTGCAATCTATCAAAGAAAATATTATTATATCACTAACGAGCGACCCGTCCCGGCTTCGTATGGTGCAATATGTATGTATGTATTATACTCAAAGCCTTCCTTAAAAATCACTCTATCTAATAAAAAATGCGCATCAAAATCCCTTGCGTAGTTTAAAAGATCTAAGCATACATAGGGACAGGGACAGACAGACGGCAGATCGCGACTTTGTTTTATAATATGTAGTGAAGATATTGTTCTGAAGAAAATGTATAGTATTTGTAATGTTTTTGTACTTTTTCAAAGTGGAGTCTTAACGTGCCACATATATTATAACATAATGTCACGCCAATGTAACGTCTGAAGATGTAGGCAATTCAACACAATAATGACGGCAAGGGGTCTCGGGATCGATTCCCGGGTCGGGCAAAGTAATAATGGGTTTTTAAAAAATCTCAGTGGTAGCACGGAGTATGGAAATGTCCCCGGTATATGACAATAGGTTACCTATTACATGAGACCCATAACATAAATAGTAAAAAGTGTGTGATACATTGTACAGCGATGTGATGTTATATGTTTAATTAATAAAAGCTAAAGGTTATCTGATCTATTGAATCCATTTGACTTGTATATACTAGAGACAAACCTCCCAACAACATCGACCTATTCCCCAACCATGTGAAAAAGTAAACAAAAGTTGTTTTAATTACCATCCATTCATTAATCTCTAGTAACACTATGAGATGTAGACTTCAAGGTTTTTTCCCAAAATATTGCCCACAGTTTGCAAACAATGGAAAACCTTCACGCTAGCAAGTCTTGGCCAACTGGGGTGGGCAGGTGTCTGACAGTCTGACATTGTCGCAATGTGGTACAGAATGTATGAATTGGATGTGTTAGTGTTATAAAATGTCTTCATGGGAATGTTTCGGATGAATGAATGGGATGTCATCATTTATTTATAATAAATAGATGACAATATTGTTATGGGACTGCTAGCATTATAGCTAGCGGAAAGTGATTGTGCATCATCAACATCTTCATATCAGCTACGAGATGCCCACTGTTGATGGAGTTTCTTGCTCGTTCTTCTCCATTCGAATCTACGTTTTAGAATGAGCACCTAGCTTCACCTAGTTTCACTGACGGACTGACTGACAGACTATTATTTATTTTGTATTTGTTGACGTTTCAAAAGTACCAAACTATGGTTTAATTGAAATAAATGCTTTGACTTTGACTTGACTTTGACATTGAATATAAGCGTGCGCCAATGCCCTATATCCAGCAGCTCCCTGCGACCTTTATCGAGTCATTGGTTTACCTTGGGTGATGTTTACAAAATTATACACATTGTTTTCATTGTCATCAGGATAATATAAGGTATTAGCTATTTGCCCGCGGCTTCATCCGAATATTATATAAATTTTAAGGACATTATTTTTTTTGTTACAATTTTCCTAAATAAATATAACGTGTGTTACTCCTTAGCACATCAGCTACTTGCCAGTCAAAATCGGTCCAGCTACTTTAGAGATTAGCCAGTACAAACAGACAGACAAATAATAAAAAAAAATATGTTGGTATAGGTATCGTACGTATGTAGTAAAAAGTAGTTATTTTAATATTACAAACTGACACTCCAATTTTATTTATCTGTACAGATAGATAGATAACGAGATGAAATATATGAGAATAGAAACGTTAACTATAATGAGGTTTGTGTTATATCAGACTGCCTCGCTGGCCAAGTGATCGCAAGAGCGACAGCCGGGCAAGAGGTCTCGGGGTCTCGGGTTCGATTAGGGTCGGGCAAAATATTACTGGGTTTTTAAAAATCTCAGTAGTAGT